TGTGTGTGTGTGTGTGTGTGTGTGTGTGTGTCTGTGTCTGTGTCTGTGTCTGTGTCTGTGTGTGTGTGTGTGTGTAACACGTGTGTGTGTGTGTGTGTCAGATCTGCCCATGTGCTCGCCGCTCTGTCACGCCGCTCTCAAGACGCTCCAGCGCTGGGAGCAGCTGCTTCTCAAGAGGCTGGAGATTTCCGGAGGTCCTCCGTCGAGGTTCATCTGCACGCAGCTGCTGGAGGAGAGCGTGTCATCGGGTCCGGCTCTGCTGAGGCGCAAAGCACTGTTCGAGTCCTCCAACACACCCTTCAGGTGCGGCAGACTCATCACACGCACTTATGCAACCCAAAGCACTCGGCTGAAACAGCAGGTTTTGGTTTTGTAGGGCTGAAATCATCGACTGAAACAGTGACTTTAATTGGTGTTTCTCCAATGGTGCGTTTTGATCTCTCATTTTTAATCTAGAATTTAAATTTTTTTTTTACGTGTCACACACACACACACACACAGACACACACTCACACACACACACACACACACACACGTGTTACACACACACACACACACACACACAGAGACACACACACACACACACACACACACACACACACACAGAGACACACACACACACAGAGACACACACACAAATTCAGTTGATATTATCAGGAACTGTAATCAATAAATGTGTTTTTGTGGCTCTTTAATGTGTGCTGACAGAAGCTCTTTCTACTACTAGTTACGGCACCAAAACAAGCTTTTATTACAGCTGCTGTTTATATTTAGACTAGTGATGCGCCGAATTGAAAATTCTGGAACAAAACCGAAAAATCAGGATGCACCCAAAACTTTTTTTTTTAATTTTTTTTTTTAAAAAGCTTATGTAAGAATATTTTTTGTATAATTGTATCAATACTATTTTTTTTATTCATTTTACCTAAGCACCTAAATTTAAATTTTTGGAAAATAAAATAAATGTTATTTAATAATCAATTACTTATTCAGATTTATAAAAAAAAAAAATTTGAATCGCACGAAAGTCAGTTTTTATGTGAATTATGTTTCTACTCATTTGTTGGTGAACTATAAACTTTTAAACAATGACTGTAATAATTTCTTTTCAAGAGAGATTTATTCAAACATGCATTAAATAATGAAGACATCACTAGCAGGTTAATTAAAAGTATAATGAATATGTAATGCAGTGCTTATATTTATGAAATTAAATCGCTTTTCGCGATGTAAAATTTTGCCATGAAGTGTTTTCGAATTTTATCACGTTAATGTAAAAAGTTTTGTGTGATATAACTTGTGTTTGTTCGTTTGCTGGTTTTTATTGTATTTGTTTTTGCCATGAATATAGCCTTTGATGCTGACATGGCATTAAATAAATATATACTACACGATGCAAATCGTTGCAATGCAGCTTTACAGAAAATGAAAGTTTCTACATTATATTTAGCGATATTTAGTCATTTATAAAAATGCTGCTATCTAGAGGTTTTTTTCTCTTCTAGCTGACTAACGAGATATGCTCATTAACTGGCTTTTCTTCAATGACCTTTTTTTTCCCAAAACCACATTTTAAGCTGAAATTACCCTAATTTCAACAACAAAATGTACTAGAAACTTAATTCATAATTAAAATAGCGACACAAGAACTGTCTTATGTACAATTTAAATGTGTACATTTGCTTAATTAATTGATTATGAAATAACCTCTATTTTCAGTAAGTGCCTCCTGAACTGTCGCTAGTTTTGTGACGAGTGTGTTTCCGCTCTCAGGTCTCGCCGGCGTGCCGCTCTTCCCGTCAGACGGCTGTGGCAGTATCTGGTCAAACAGGAGGAGGTTCAGGAGATGTTCATACGCAACATCTTCACCAAGAAACGCGATCCGAACGAGGTACTTGTGTCTGTTCACCATCAGCTGCTCGTTTGCACGCCTCCTGATTGTGTTTTAACAGCCAGCCGCTCTGTCGAGTCATTAGTATGGTGTTGCACTTGTGTTATGTTTGTAATTAACCGTCTAATCGTGGCCTGTGATTGACCTGCATGTTTGAATCTCCACACACACCCAGGTATCTAACACAGCTTCTGCTCCTTCATCTTCATCATCATCATCCAGTCGTGAGGCTCTTTAAGATGCACGATTACCTGCAAATCAACATGAAATCACAGCTGACTGTAATTTATAATCCTGCTCTGGTTCACTTCTGCTTGTTGATGTAAAGCATGCACACTGAGCATTAGTGAATGACATTTATTCTCCTCAAGCACTGAGAGGCCTTTTAAAGAGTCCGCATCAGGGACGTAACGATTCACTCAACTCACGACGCCATACTGATTCACAATATGATATAATAAAAGAGCAGCGTTTATTCAAAATAGAAATCTTTTGTAACAATATACACTACCGGTCAAAAGTTTGGGGTCGGCAGATTTTTTTTTCTTTTTCTTTATTTGAAAGAAATGAATGCTTTTATTCAGCAAAGATGTGTTAAAATGATAAAAAGTGACAATAAAGACTTATATTTTGAATAAATGCTGTTTTTTAAAAGTTTTTATTAATCAAATAATCCTGGAAAAGTATCACAGGTTCCAAAAAAAACAGCAGGAGGCGCTCATGCAGCAGCAGATACAGCGTTTCCTTGGTTACCGCCGTTAACACAGCAGCTGCGCTTATAAACACTGCATTAATATGCATTACAGAGACCAGATGAGACGAAACACCATCTAAACTTTCCTGCAGACAAGTCAGTTCTCCTCAGAGACACATTCATATAAACCCCGACTGTATCGCCTTTCCTTTAACATCTCAACCCACATCAATCCTCACTTATCGATTTTCAACCGGTGCATCGTTGCATCCCTAGTCAGGATAAATGTCTGAATAATAAAGATGATAAGTGGTGAGTGTTTGTGCAGATCGAGGCCGACCTGGGGTTTCCTGGAGGAAAGGCTCGCATCATCCATAAGGAGTCTGACATCATCACGGCGTTCGCCATCAATAAGGTGCCGTGACGTGCTGCGGCTGTGCCTGCGTGTGATCTGTGACGCGCCGCATGTAAGCAGCCTCTCTCTGTCTTCCAGGCCAATCGCAACTGTTTAGTGATCGCCTCCAGCCACGACATCCAGGAGCTGGATGTGTCCTACATCCTCGCCTCGCAGATCCTGACCTGGGTCGATGACGAGAACGAGGCCGAGGTCAAAGGGTGAGCTCCGCATTCGAGTACAGTCATCCTGCCTTAGCAACTCAAGTCAGCTTTATTTCTAGATTGTGTCAAAGCAGCTTCACAGAGTCAAACAGAAAAATAGTGTCAATAATGCACAAGGACAATAACAAAGAGTCATTTTCCAGCTAAAAACGGCAATGCAACATCGTAGAACTTACTCTTAAAAGGACAGTTCTGCTAAAAATGTCATCATTTACTCACCTTCATGTCGTTTTAAACCTGTATGAGTTTCTTTCTTCTGCTGAACACAATAGAAGATATTTTGAAGAACGTATACAGTTGGCGGTAGCCATCGACTTCCATAGTATGAAAAAACACTGGAAGTAGTGTTAATTTTGTCAGCCGTCTTAGTTTTTAATGAAATTAACTCTAAGTGGAAGTCGATGGCTACCGGCAGCTGTTTGGTTCCCAACATCATGCTGCAGTGTTGTTCTCGAGTAAACACTCACATTTACCGTCAGCTGGAGTTCCTGAGAGGAAATGTGTGTGATCATGTGATGTGCTTGTGTTGTTTGGCAGGACGGATGACTTCCTGGTGGTTCACGCTCGGGACGACTTCAGCGCGCTTCACGGCAGCACACCCTACACCCACAGCAGCCCCGGGACACCCATCAACATGCCCTGGCTGGGGGGCCTGCAGACGGGCCGAGGAGCCGCCGTGGTGAGCAGCGCTAGCAACACTCAATCTGTCCTGCTCCGGACACGCTAACACTCGCTCACGCTCTTCTGTGTTCTCGCAGCTCATCAAACGCAACATCAACAACGTGAGGCGGATGACGTCACACCCCACGCTGCCCTACTGTGAGTGCCTGCTTCCACACCCGCTTACACACCGCTCACTCTAACTAACAACATATGTGACCCTGGAGCACAAAACCTGTCATAAGGGTCAATTTTGTGAATTTATGCATCAGCTGAAAGCTGAATAAATCAGCTTTCCATTGATGTATGGTTTGTTAGGATCGGACAATATTTGAAAATCTGGAATCTGAGGGTGCAAAAAAATCTAAATATTGAGAAAATCATCTTTAAAGTTGTTCAAATGAAGTCCTTAGCAATGCATATTACTAATCAAACATTAAGTTTTGATATATTTACGGTAGGAAATTTACAAAATATCTTCATGGAACATGATCTTTACTTAATATCCTAATGATTTTTGGCATAAAAGAGAAATGTATAATTGTGACCCATACAATGTATTGTTGGCTATTGCTACAAATATCCCCCAGCGACTCAACACTGCTTTTGTGCTGCAGGGTCACATACGTGTCATTTTTGTCAGATTCCTCTGTTTATAAAGAATGTTTAGTTGCTTTAAATGCCACTATGCTCAGAAAGATCTCAGTCTGAACGAGAAACGTTTCATCAGGAATAATTGTACGTTTTTGATCAAATATTGAAATGAAAGATCATCAGTAATGATGTGAGTGGGATCTTGCTATGAAAACAGCCATAGATGCTGATATGACAATAAAAACATTAAGTATTTGAAATAAAATAAACATTAATTGAAATAAAATGCTAGTTGCCAAGGTGACATCTCTCAACTTTATGTACTAAAATAACTTAATAAATAAAAATATACGTATTTAAAACAAAAACTAATAAAAATGACAAAAACATGCAACAAATGTGTGTGTGTGTGTTTGTATGCTTTTGTGTGTGTGTGTGTGTGTGTGTGTGTGTGTGTGTGTGTGTGACTCTGGAGCACAATCCCAGACATAAGGGTCCATTTTTTCAAATTAAATTGAGATTTATGCATCATCTGAAAGCTGAATAAATAAGCTTTCCATTGATGTATGGATTGTTAGGATCGGACAATATTTGGCTGAGATACAACTATTTGAAAATCTGGAATCTGAGGGTGCAAAAAAATCTAAATATTGAGAAAATCATCTTTAAAGTTGTTCAAATGAAGTTCTTAGCAATGCATATTACTAATCAAACATTAAGTTTTGATATATTTACGGTAGGAAATTTACAAAATATCTTCATGGAACATGATCTTTACTTAATATCCTAATGATTTTTGGCATAAAAGAGAAATGTATAATTGTGACCCATACAATGTATTGTTGGCTATTGCTACAAATATCCCCCAGCGACTCAACACTGCTTTTGTGCTGCAGGGTCACATACGTGTCATTTTTGTCAGATTCCTCTGTTTATAAAGAATGTTTAGTTGCTTTAAATGCCACTATGCTCAGAAAGATCTCAGTGAATGTTTTCAGAAACGTTTCATCAGGAATAATCGTACGTTTTTGATCAAATATTGAAATGAAAGATCATCAGTAATGATGTGAGTGGGATCTTGCTATGAAAACAGCCATAGATGCTGATATGACAATAAAAACATTAAGTATTTGAAATAAAATAAACATTAATTGAAATAAAATGCTAGTTGCCAAGGTGACATCTCTCAACTTTATGTACTAAAATAACTTAATAAATAAAAATATACGTATTTAAAACAAAAACTAATAAAAATGACAAAAACATGCAACAAATGTGTGTGTGTGTGTTTGTATGCTTTTGTGTGTGTGTGTGTGTGTGTGTGTGTGTGTGTGTGTGTAGATCTGACCGGAGCTCAGGACGGCAGCGTGCGCATGTTTGAGTGGGGTCACTCACAGCAGATCACCTGCTTCAGGAGCCCCGGAAACTGCAGGGTCACCAGAATACGCTTCAATTATCAGGGCAATAAGGTGCATCACAGTCGTTAGGAATCACTAGTGTGAGAGCACTGTGTGTGACTGTAGCATGTGTAAACCAGCTCACGTGTGTGTGTGTGTGTGTGTGTGTGTGTGTGTGTGTGTGTGTGAGTGTTTGTGTTTGTGTGTGTTTTTGTGTGTGTGCGTGAGTGTGTGTTTTTGTGTGTGCGTGTGTGTGTGTGTGTGTGCGTGCACGTGCATGCGCGTGAGTGTGTGTGTGTGTGTGTCTGTGAGTGTGTGTTTGTTTGTGTGTGTGAGTGTTTGTTTGTTTGTTTGTGCGTGTGCGTGTGTGTGTCTGTGTGCGTGTGCGCGCGTGTGTCTGTGTGCGTGTGTGTGTGTGTGTGTGTGTTGTAGTTCGGGATCATGGATGCAGACGGAGCGCTCAGTCTCTGGCAGACCAGCACCTCAGGAAACGCTCCCAAACCCTATCTGGTACATCCATCGCTCTCCTTGTTCCTCCTGCTCATTAGAGCGTTTTAAAATTTTTGTTTTTTATTTATTTTTATCAAAAATACAGTTAAATTATGAAATATTAGTACAGTTTAAAACAGCTGTTTTCTGTGTGAATATGTGTTAAACTGTAATGTATTTCTGTGATGCGCAGCTGTATTTTCAGCATCATTCCTCCAGTCTTCAGTGAAACATGATCTTCAGAAATCAGTATAATATGCTGATCTGCTGCTCGAGAAACATTTCTGATTATTATCAATGTTGAACACAGTCGTGCTGCACAATATTTTTATGGAAAATGTGGTACAAAAATAATTGAGCAGCAGATCAGCATATTAGACTGATTTCTGAAGATCATGTGACACTGAAGACTGGAGGAATGATGCTGAAAATACAGCTGCGCATCACAGAAATACATTACACTTTAACACATATTCACACAGAAAACAGCTGTTTTACATTCTAATAATATTTCATAATTTAACTATTTTTGTTCAAATAATTGCAGTTACTCACACTGTTCAGTGCAATATCTTGTAGATTCACTCCTGTGTACTCATATTCATAACACTGTAAATATGTTCACAATCTTGTCACGTTTATTGTGTCTCAAACTGTCTCTGTGCACTTTTATATTTTATTGTTTAAGTTCATTATTGTGTGGTGGTGTATGTGTATCTGTGCACTGGAAGCTTCGCTATTGGGAATGAAGCTAGAATTGTGATTTTGTTGGTTTGGATGCACCGATAACATCTTTGCCATTCTTAATGTGTCTGTGTCGAATAAACCTACATTTCTTAGTGTAAAACCGCTGTGTTCTCTTCATCATGTGATCGTCTCCTTCTTTTCCTGCAGACGCTTCAGTGTCACAGTAAGACGGCGAATGACTTTGTGTTTGTGGGCTCGTCGTCTCTCATCGCCACCGCAGGCCTGTCCACAGACAACAGGTACAGCCGGACACAAACACAGAAAAATCTGAAAAATGTAAGCTTCACTTCATAAAGACACTGTCTCGTCACAGGAACGTGTGTCTGTGGGATACTCTGGTCACGCCAGCATACAGTCTGGTTCACGGTAAGTCATCTCTCACACACACACACTCACTCTCACACACACACACACACACTCACTCTCACACACACACACACACACTCACTCTCACACACACACACACACACTCACTCTCACACACACACACACACACTCACTCTCACACACACACACACTCTCTGGCAGACCAGCACCTCAGGAAACGCTCCCAAACCCTATCTGGTACATCCATCGCTCTCCTTGTTCCTCCTGCTCATTAGAGCGTTTTAAAATTTTTGTTTTTTATTTATTTTTATCAAAAATACAGTTAAATTATGAAATATTAGTACAGTTTAAAACAGCTGTTTTCTGTGTGAATATGTGTTAAACTGTAATGTATTTCTGTGATGTGCAGCTGTATTTTCAGCATCATTCCTCCAGTCTTCAGTGAAACATGATCTTCAGAAATCAGTATAATATGCTGATCTGCTGCTCGAGAAACATTTCTGATTATTATCAATGTTGAACACAGTCGTGCTGCACAATATTTTTATGGAAAATGTGGTACAAAAATAATTGAGCAGCAGATCAGCATATTAGACTGATTTCTGAAGATCATGTGACACTGAAGACTGGAGGAATGATGCTGAAAATACAGCTGCGCATCACAGAAATACATTACACTTTAACACATATTCACACAGAAAACAGCTGTTTTACATTCTAATAATATTTCATAATTTAACTATTTTTGTTCAAATAATTGCAGTTACTCACACTGTTCAGTGCAATATCTTGTAGATTCACTCCTGTGTACTCATATTCATAACACTGTAAATATGTTCACAATCTTGTCACGTTTATTGTGTCTCAAACTGTCTCTGTGCACTTTTATATTTTATTGTTTAAGTTCATTATTGTGTGGTGGTGTATGTGTATCTGTGCACTGGAAGCTTCGCTATTGGGAATGAAGCTAGAATTGTGATTTTGTTGGTTTGGATGCACCGATAACATCTTTGCCATTCTTAATGTGTCTGTGTCGAATAAACCTACATTTCTTAGTGTAAAACCGCTGTGTTCTCTTCATCATGTGATCGTCTCCTTCTTTTCCTGCAGACGCTTCAGTGTCACAGTAAGACGGCGAATGACTTTGTGTTTGTGGGCTCGTCGTCTCTCATCGCCACCGCAGGCCTGTCCACAGACAACAGGTACAGCCGGACACAAACACAGAAAAATCTGAAAAATGTAAGCTTCACTTCATAAAGACACTGTCTCGTCACAGGAACGTGTGTCTGTGGGATACTCTGGTCACGCCAGCATACAGTCTGGTTCACGGTAAGTCATCTCTCACACACACACACTCACTCTCACACACTCGCACTCTCTCACACACGCACTCACACTCTCTCGCACACACACACTCACTCTCTCTCTCACTCACACTCTCTCGCACACACACACTCACTCTCTCTCTCACTCACACTCTCTCGCACACACACACTCACTCTCTCTCTCACTCACACTCTCTCGCACACACACACTCACTCTCTCTCTCACTCACACTCTCTCGCACACACACACTCACTCTCTCTCTCACTCACACTCTCTCGCACACACACACTCACTCTCTCTCTCACTCACACTCTCTCGCACACACACACTCACTCTCTCTCTCACTCACACTCTCTCGCACACACACACTCACTCTCTCTCTCACTCACACTCTCTCGCACACACACACTCACTCTCTCTCTCACTCACACTCTCTCGCACACACACACTCACTCTCTCTCTCACTCACACTCTCTCGCACACACACACTCACTCTCTCTCTCACTCACACTCTCTCGCACACACACACTCACTCTCTCTCTCACTCACACTCTCTCGCACACACACACTCACTCTCTCTCTCACTCACACTCTCTCGCACACACACACTCACTCTCTCTCTCACTCACACTCTCTCGCACACACACACTCACTCTCTCTCTCACTCACACTCTCTCGCACACACACACTCACTCTCTCTCTCACTCACACTCTCTCGCACACACACACTCACTCTCTCTCTCACTCACACTCTCTCGCACACACACACTCACTCTCTCTCTCACTCACACTCTCTCGCACACACACACTCACTCTCTCTCTCACTCACACTCTCTCGCACACACACACTCACTCTCTCTCTCACTCACACTCTCTCGCACACACACACTCACTCTCTCTCTCACTCACACTCTCTCGCACACACACACTCACTCTCTCTCTCACTCACACTCTCTCGCACACACACACTCACTCTCTCTCTCACTCACACTCTCTCGCACACACACACTCACTCTCTCTCTCACTCACACTCTCTCGCACACACACACTCACTCTCTCTCTCACTCACACTCTCTCGCACACACACACTCACTCTCTCTCTCACTCACACTCTCTCGCACACACACACTCACTCTCTCTCTCACTCACACTCTCTCGCACACACACACTCACTCTCTCTCTCACTCACACTCTCTCGCACACACACACTCACTCTCTCTCTCACTCACACTCTCTCGCACACACACACTCACTCTCTCTCTCACTCACACTCTCTCGCACACACACACTCACTCTCTCTCTCACTCACACTCTCTCGCACACACACACTCACTCTCTCTCTCACTCACACTCTCTCGCACACACACACTCACTCTCTCTCTCACTCACACTCTCTCGCACACACACACTCACACACACACACCACACACTCTCACTCTCACACACACACACACACATGCTCTCACACACATGCTCTCACACACACGCTCTCACACACACACACTCACACACACACACCACACACTCTCACTCTCACACACACACACACACATGCTCTCACACACACGCTCTCACACACACACACTCACACACACACACCACACACTCTCACTCTCACACACACACACACACATGCTCTCACACACACGCTCTCACACACACACACTCACACACACACACACACACACTCTCTCACACACTGTAGAAGCGTGTCTAAACGAGTCGTGTGCTGCAGGCTTCAGCTGTCACGAGTCCGGCTCCACGGTTCTGGCTCTGGCGTCTAAACAGCAGCTGCTGCTCAGCGGAGGCCGGAAGGGCTGCATCAGTGTTCTGGACCTCAGTCTGAAGATCCAGCGCCAGAGTTTCCAGGCGCACGACTCGGCCGTCAAAGCACTGGCCGTCGACGCCAGCGAGAGCTGCTTCATGAGCGGATCGGCCGAGGGCAACATCAAGGTCTGAGCCTCACCCTTTATATACTCTCATAGCTCAGATCTTCTATTAGCTTTTAGTTTGACATTTTCAGTTTTCATTTTAGTTTTTTTTTTTTTACTTTTATTATTATTACATTTTTTTTAGCCTTTGTTTATATCAGTTTTTAGTACCTTTTTGTAAAAATTTACTACTTAGTAATTGTAGCTGTATTTCAGTTAGTTTCCAAGGCAACATTTCTAATTAAAAATTTCATATAATATTTATCTGTCATTTTATTTTAGCTTTATTTCAATTTGCTTTGAGAGTTACTGGAGAACAGGAGATGGTGAACAGGTTTTGATCTGAAGTGAAAGAGAGTGTATGTAAATGAAGCCTGTTTTTAAGGACCATTCAGATTTGTTGTGCATTTTTCATAAAAATTCAACACATTTTCCTCTTTACAAATTCCTATTACTATAATACAAAAAAGTCATTATTTTTATGATAATAGTAAAAAAGTTTAATGTGTGTGTATTACTGCTTTTTTTAACATATTAAAGTAAAATGTTTAATTATTATTAATGTGTAAATTACTATATGTATGTGTGTGTGTGTGTATATATATATTATTTATTATAAATTATATATAATAATATATAATATATAAATATTATATTTAAAATATAATTATAATAAATATAATTTATTATATTTTTATGTAATACTTATAAATATATTTAAAATATATAAATGTTATTATTATTATTGTATAGTATTATATATTTATAAAAATGTCAGATTTTTTTTTAACATTGTTAAAACTTTTTAAATATAAAACTATAATAATTTGTATATTTTGTATATATATATATAATTATTTGTAGCATTTTACATTTATAAAAAATCTTTTAAAAAATCAGTAATAAAATTATAGTTAAAAAAAATACTAAATAAACAAACCATTTGTTCTCATCACAGCAATGAGAATTTGAACTGAGAATATATAAATTGTCATGAGAATGCAAACAAAGCTTAATGGTTCTTAAAATAGACCTGTTTTTTTTGTGCTGCACAAAATGATAAATATTCTAGCTGATCGCAGGGAATAACTGTTGTGTGTGTGTGTGTGTGTGTGTGTGTGTGTGTCTCTGTGTGT